ACAGTGCATTTAAATCTGTTCATACAATGATATTTATTATTCAAAAATCTACTCTTATTGGTACTTTTCAAAATGATTTTATAAATTTTGTTTAATCAGATCGTTTTACTGCTCTTGATCTATGTGCATGTGTATGAGAGAGAGAATGAGAGACAGAGGAGATACTGTAACACAAAAAAGTCATGTCAATCAATAAGTTTAGGATGTTTTTCTTCACAAATTTATGGACAAGAATGTTTTACTTAATTATTCTCCTTTTCAAAAGAGAAAGTAACAATGATGATTTTGCAAAATATATAGAAATACAACAAAATAGACTAAATTAACAGCTATAAAAATTTAGAACAAATGTGGTGTAAGTGGAATCTGAAACAAGATTAAAGCTACAGATTAATAGTGTTTATAATTGGTGAACTAATGTCAGCTATGTAGATAATTTTGTCATAAATATAAACTGGGAAATTTAAATACATTTATGTAATGAATGTTTACATTAATTTGTGACATGCCTTTGTAGAATTCACACCCTACAAATGCTAATTTTGTTAATGTCATTTACACTCCTCTCTCTGTAACCCTGCATGTTTCTCTCCCAGTTGGAATCTGTAGCCTTTCATTCCTTCAAAATACTCGTCATTCTTTATATGACAATTTATAAATTTATTTATCAATACCTCAGCTTACAATGTTTTCACTGGTTTTTGAATTTCCATATTTCCACAGGATGTTTATCTCACAATTTCTGTTAGATGATAGGTATGTTGGCAGAAAGATAGATAGGTGTGTTTATGTTTGCATATGTATGTCTCTTACTCCTAGTTTACAAGAGTTCACAATGGAATTCAAATGCATCCATATAACAAATATATGCTATAGACAGTATAACTGGTATGTGCTTTCGTACATATAAGTGTGTACTGAGAATTAACTGGACACATTTATGCATAATAGTTTGAAATACATTATAAATACTTGAAAGGCAGAATACACTTATTGTTCTACTTTCAATGA